TATATATGTATGTGTGTGTGTGTGTATGTATATATATCTCACCCTCTTCACTGAGGACCTGTTAATATTAAGGGGGGCTAGTTAGGCTTGTGCCGATTTCCGGTTTAACCGGTTTGGTCTGGTTTAAGAGCGCCACCTGGTTTAATTCACGTCAACCATATAAACCGGAGGAGAAAAAAAAAAGCTTTTCACATCGGCGGCGTGTCAAGGGACTATAGTCAACGTATCTTGCATTGTAACATGCATTATGACAACTTAATAAGGTTTATGTTTGTTTATAAATTAAGTGGAGGAGCCTACAAGTGTTTTGTTTAGTTTGTCTCAGAGGCTTCAGAGGGACTCTGCAGCTCCGCTCAGCTGTCTGCTGCTGCTGCGAGAGATCAGATTTCATTGGGGCGGGGAAAGTGCGAGGGAGTCAGCAGTCATTCAGTTTGTTGCCCTAGTGACCCGTTTCCACTGAAGAAGTTCCTGGTACTATTTGGGGGGCTGGAACTACTACAGGAACATCCTCTGGCTCGGCCATCTCAACCGCCGTGTCTCCACTGAACGGGCGGAGTCGGAGGAAGGTTCCTTGGTGTCCTTCTGCGTATTCTTCTTCTTCTTGTGTAACCTTGTGTGTATTGGCAGTTAATACAGCATTACCGCCACCTAGTGGATTGGAAGCGCATTACACCTATAATGGACTTTGATTGCGATTATTGCTTTTATGCGACCCCCAGTGGTAAAATTAGGTATATAATTCAATATATCAGTTCGGTTAGATATTTGGCTTTAAATCAAACCGGTTGGAAAATTTTCAAACCGGCACAGGCCTAGGGCTAGTTCCTTTCCTGCTTCTTCCCAAAGTCCACTATCACCTCCCTAATCTTGCTGACTCTCAGGAGTAGGTTGTTTTTGTAATAATGCATGTTCTAAATCCCATTGGTTTTAGAGGGTTAACATGTAGCCTTTCCTCCACAGAGGCCACCTGTATCACAGAGATGTCCGTCCTGATGGCCTGTTGGAAGCAAAACAACTTTGTGGACAGTCTGTGCTATAATGAGATGAACACCTTCTTCACCTGTGTCAAGACAGCTCGGGTATGTTACATAAAGAGCAACACAACTGACACATCAACTGGTTAGTGCTGTAAGATGACGTGTGTTCAAGCTGAGCTGATTAATGTACAATTCTACAAGGCTCCTAAAGTGACACAAAAAACGTCCTTTTCTAATGCACACTGGGAAATTACACCTTCACTGAAAGCCAATAGAAGAGGTGCAGCCGCGCACATCCAGTAAGACAGGTGCTGGACCAAAAAAACAGGCAGTCAGAAAAGAAGAGGAAGGGCCGCACACTTTTTGCTCCCAGTTGAAGTGCAATATAAATTTATTTAGCACATCCCAAAACAACAGTGATGTGTTTCGAGCAGCGTATGCTCTTCGTCAGACAACTTAGGTGCTGTGAGAGGCCATCTTAAGTAACATAGATCACATGACATAATCAAGATCACATGGCAATCAGCTGCAACAATTGCGTGATCCGATCCACCTCACTATCTGTATAAACACATTTTCTTTTAAAACCAAACATATTTTTGATCCAGAATAAATTATCTGATCAGTTACTCCACTATCTGTATGAACTCATTACATGAGTCAAAACATGTTTTCACATGGTCAAGGACACCAAAAAGTGACAGTGGATATGTATAGAAAAAACTCTACATTACACTACACTATACAAAAGAATAAAACACCATCAGGCCAGCTGGCCGTCATACTTTCAGTTGACTATGTAGAGGAGCCTCTATATAGAACTACAACACTATTTTACACTACACACTATTTTTCAAATTCATTTTGGTGAACCAAAATGTTTTTCAAAGATTTTGTACTTAAGTTTTTTGTTTTAATTTTAGCTCGTTTAGAACATGGCAGTACTCACACATTTTTGTGTGTGTGGAGGACACAAATATTTTTGTGTAAAGGACACAAACATCTTTTTGTAAATCAACACAAACATTTTTAACCATACATCAATATTTTAACCATACATCAACATTGCATCACGGCCCGTATCACAGTTTCAAAGAAATGGTTTTATATTGAAGTCCTTATAAAAGAGGTGTTGGTTTACTGTAAGCGTGTGACTCAGTGATGATGTATGACTGAAGCCTTAAGTGCTGGTTTTATGGATGGTCAATCTCCACAGGTCGTCCGGTAAGAACAGGATGATGATGGGTGATAATGAATCCAATTCACACACTAATTGACTTGCCACTCATTTATTTTCTGCTAGTCAGAATATCCATAGGTGAGGTATATGATGGGTGGTTACTACGATAAAGAAATAAAACAGAGAACATGCACATATATTAATATGTAACAATAAAAAACATTAACAGTATGGCATGAAAACAAATGAAGTTACTTAAGGAAATCACACTACAACATTGAATAGATGAAGAGATTCCTGCCCTCAATACTGTAAGGGAGTGTCAATAAGGGATAAATCAGTAAAACTAGGGATGCACCTAAATGAAAATTTGTGGCCGAAGCTGAATATTATTAAACGCTTGGCCCGAATACCGAGTACCGAATATCATTGTTTAGTTTTTCATTAGTTTTTGCAGATGAACCCCTTCCAGATTAGTGTTGTCACGGTACCAAAATTGGGACCCACTGTGCGATACCAATGAAAATATAATGGTTCTGAGTAGTATCACGATACCACAGCGAAAATGAGGCAGATGTGCCTTTTGTCATTTATGAAAAGATAAATCATTTTTCTGTAATACATCAATGATATTTCAATGAAATAAATTACTTATTGACTTATTCATACTTCAAAAACAGCATCAATAAGTGATTAACATAGGAGGGAATCAAAATAAAATAAATAAATAAAATAAAAATCAACCAGCCACCCTCCTCCCCTGACAGTCCCTTCATGAGTAAAGAACAGTCCCTAAAGTGCGGTGAGGTTTGTGGACCGTTACTGACACAAAGACAGAAATGTGAAAGGCTCGTTTCTCCTCTGACACATCACATACCTGTGTTCGGCTGGCTCGGCTGTTCAGGTACTTCTGGGCAGTCATGACACCAAGAAGAGGATATTGTTGGAGCCGACTTCTCTGTCGCCGGGTAAGCCGATGGCTGCCGTTTTTGACAGGAATACATTACTGTCTGTGTCTGTGACCCCCGTTCAACCCACAACCAGTGGGATTCGCCTTTCGTTTCTGCTGCTGGTTGAAATCTGTAGGCTGCTCGCACAGCGTGCTGAATGATTTAAGCCTATTTTGCTCGCTCAACTATTTTTAGTCGCAAATGCGAGTGCCGTGACGGACGGATCGCCACACTGCTGACATTTTATTCCGCCCGTCACGGCCATTTGATTGCGTTATCAAAACACGCCGCTATTATTCGGCCTTGCTTTTAACTTATTCCACCGAATACTGAATGTGTGTTTTTTTGCAATATTCGGCCGAATATATTTGGTTAACGAATATTCGGTGCATCCCTAAGTAAAACTTATATTTGCTACTGTTCCAGTACACTGAGGGCACACTAAATAAATGTTGAACAGTCCCTTAGCAGACTGATCAGAGTGCTCACTGCTCCTCAAAGATAAACAAAACTCCTACGTTGCGGCAGTAAAACTAATGAGTGAAGGATATGTCAGAACTCGCCCAGCTAGTGACTGCTGTGAATAGGGCAGCTGACAACAAGGGAAAGACCATGTTACCGCTTGGAAAGACAGCTGACAGGAGGGAAAAGACCCCAAAGGTGCTGGCATGGGCTAGCAACCCATGGCAGCAGTGTTTAGGCCTAGCAGCCTTGCTACAACCAAATTAGCTACATCCAACATAGGGAAAATACCCAGAGAGTCAGCGAGAGCAGGGGTGGAAGATGACTCACAGGTGGATTACAAGATAAAAGACATTGGAAAGGACACAACTAAGAATTGGATCTGTGACTCAGTGAAGGATAGGGGCAAGGACCTATCCACCAGAGCTAGAATTAGCAGCACTCAGGGCAAGGCGAGCGCATCTGTAGAGGACAAAAGTAGCACAATCGAGAACAAGATGTTTCAGGTTTGTCCTTCGACTGGCACAAAGTAACATCAGTAAAAGGCCTCAGAACTCATCAGGGAAAGAAGAAGTGTGGTAAAGAAAGGGCAGAGTAGCCACATTGATCAGTACTTATTAAGAAGTCAGTCGAGTCAGTCGGATGAAGTTCAGCGACAGGTAGAAAACCACAGTTTGCAGGATATCAGTAGCACTGCCACTGAGGAGGAGGAGGTAGTAAGAGGGGATGCTGGTGACACTGAGGTTAGCAGACCAGTCAGAGAGAGAACCATGGAGCAAGAGGTTAGAGTTAGATGGCCTAGGTCAAATGACGGTAAAGAATGGGAGATAGTTAATAGAAAAAGCTACAGAAGAAGAAAGGGAGAGAATTTATGTGTTGCAAGAGGAGTTGAGAAGCAGGCCAGCAGCTCTTAGAAGGGCAGAGCATCTCGGGGGAAAAAGAGGAGGAAGAAGGAATATGCAAGGACAGCTTTTTTCAGGGACCCTTTTAAGTTTGTTAAAGGATTGTTTAGCCAGGAAAAGGGAGGGCAGCTTAAAGTAGAAAGGAATAGGATTTAGAGAAGAATAGGATAGTAGGTTTTCCACCGGATATCCCTCCATTAGTAGGGATAGAGCATGAGATGGATGTCAGGCCACCTAGGTGGAAGGAAGTTCAGGAGGTGGTCAGGCGTGTAAAGGCTTCTTTGACCCCAGGGCCTAATGGAGTCCCCTGCCAGGTTTATAAAAGTGCCCCTTATATCCTTAAGTTTTTGAAGATTTTCTTTAGTGTAGTAGCACAGAGATTAGCTAGATACTTGGAAAGGAATAGCTTAATAGATACTATGCTGCAGAAGGCAGGAATACCCGGTTTTGCAGGGTGTTTAGAGCCTACTAGCATGATCTGACACCAGATTCAGGCAGCAAAGATTTAAAAAAAGGGACCTGCATGTAATATTTTAGATCTTGCAAATGCGTTTGATTCTGTACCACATAGCCTCAGTGCATTTGACTACTTCAAAGTGCCACAGGTAGTTTTTAACTTAGTGAAAGCATATTTTCAGGATATTAGGTTGTGTCTAAGTATGGCAGGTTTCACAACAGGCTGGCAGAGGCTAGAAATAGGTATTATGGCAGGGTGTACAATTTCTCATTTACAATTTACAGAACGGGGTGCATCTTCCACCAGTTGCGGCTTACATGGATGACATGACACTGGTGACCACTACAATGCCATGTACAAAGAGGCTACTAGAGAAGGTAAATAAGAACCTCAAGTGGGCCAACATGAAAATCAAGCCTAGTAAATCTAGAAACATCTCAATAAGTAGAGGGAAGTTAAGTGATAGGAAGTTTGTCATAGATGATGAGGAAATCCCAAAAATTAGGGAAAAGTCAGTAAAGAGCTTAGGTAGATGGTACAATGTGGAGTTAAATGATGAGGAACAGGTGGTGAAATTTAGAAAAGATGTGGCTGAAGGATTGGACAGAATAGATAAATCAGAACTTCCAGGAAAGTTAAAGTTGTGGTGTTTGCAGTTTGGGCTATATCCTAGGTTAATGTTGCTATTGTCAATTTATGAAATTCCAATATCCATTGTGGAGAGAATTGAAAGGTTGGTTAGCTCCTATATTAGGAAGTGGTTGGGCGCTCCTAGGTGTCTAAGTAGTGTTGCATTGTGTGGAAAAGGGATACTTCAGCTGCCAGTATCTAGTTTAACAGAGAAATTTAAATGTACCAAGGTCAGGACAGAGCTGTTGTTATCTGGGAGTAAGGACGTGGTAGTTAGGAGTGTGGTTCCAAATCCAACCAAGGGGAGGAGATGGAAGCCAAGATCAGCTGTTCAGGAGGCAGAGGCAGCTCTTAGGCATGCAGAGATTGTAGATAATGTTTAAGTTTGGCCGTGGAGGCCTGGAGCTTGGCTCAGGCAAACCAGTATGGAATAAAGCAGGTCCCAAAGATAAAAGAAAGCTGGTTGTGGAACAGATACGTAGACAGGAGGAGATATTAAGGAGTGCAAAGGTAGTGGCCCA